AGGAAAGTTTTAATTTATTTCGATTTTAAACCATGACAAGTAATTTGGACAAACCAATATAAAAATCAAGACGTATAAAATGGGACAGAGTGCTACATTAAGTAGAGGGTTGTGCAGAGATTATAGAAGTAAACCATGATAGTAGCTTATAATGTTTTTGGAGGTCACGAATTCAAGATATCAAAAGCCTGCAAGAACCTTATGGACTAGAATGTCATTCAATACCATACCACTAAAAACATAATGATAAATACACAGTTTAACCATATTATTACCAGAAACTAACAATTTGGAAAGAGCAAGAAAGGAAAGGAAGACAACAGAACCAAGTCAAAAAAGTTTAACGCATAACGAATACTATAAATCTTTGTAAGATGATTTACAAGTGTATTCCAAGAAGACAACTCCAAGATAATAAAGCAGTCTGGAGAACATACCTCTTCCTTGTTACCCCAACCATCATAATAAACATAATACCCATTTGGAGTATGCGCCTCAATTGTTGCTTCATACCTGAACATTCAGCTAAATCAAACACAAGAAAATGGTAAAGCAAAAGCAGGAATGAAACAAATAACATCATCAGAGTGCAAAATTAGTTGAAGTAATCTTACGAACCATTCACCATCTTCACTAAAGACAGCTTGAACTTTGGTGCCAACAGGAAACTTTGAGTAATCCAACATAGATCCCGATTCCTAAGTCAGAAGACACAAGCAAATAAACCTTAAGTGGCACATCAATGCTATGTCAACATTCCACGTGCAAATTCTAGAAAAGTAGTTGGCTGCAAAGCTCCAAAACTTTACATATAAATAGCAGATGCTTTTTGCGAACATAGAGCACAACTCAATAAAGTAGAAATGTAGAGCAAGAGTGTCCAAGCTGTTAGACATCTAAATTAAGTCTAAATAGGGCATTAGAAGATCTAATCACCTGCTTCTGAGATAAAAAATTCCATAACTGCTCAAAACCCCTCCCCCCCCCCAATAACCGTGCTATTTTAGTCTGTAACCATGTCATATCATTTTTGCAACCCAATATTCTTTATCAACTTTTCAAAGTTAACTTTGTCAATTCTGATTTCCAAAACCCCCTTTTAACCTGGCAGAATTTGTGCCAAAGACAATTGGAGGGGATAATCATGGAATTTTCTCTCTTCAAATTTTCTCAAAATCCAAGGTAAATGCAAAATGGTGTATTGGCACAAGGAAGTGATAATTACAAAAAAAAAAAAAAAAAGAACTATGAGGGACTGGATGGCAGAGCCAACTCAAATGAGACAGCCTATGGTAACCTTAGTGATGAAAAGTCAACAAAACAATCTTAACATGCACTTACATTTTACTATGCGCCATAGTTCAGGAAATGCAGACTGATCTAATTTTGCATAATTAGAAAAGTTTCTCATTGTTATCCCATCAAGTATCTGGAAAGGCTAAAACGTCATGCTTCCTTTTCATAAAAATTGTTAAGGTGTTCTAATCCAATTCAAAAGCCCGTAGTCTTCAAATAAGCTGGGACTTTCTGACTTGGCCAAATGCTAGTACTTAAAAACAGTCAATATAATTGCACAAACAATTTCTTTGAAAAGGTAGATTTGAATAAGATGCTGGTAATCAAAGACAACATTTATGTATCCATACAAAAATACACTCTCTTGCTACCATTTAGTGGACTTTCCTATTGCTAAGCAAGACAGCACTTGCATTGACAATGCTGGAAAATATGAGTCAAAAATTAAAAGAAACTTATAGCGAAAAATTTCAGGAAGATGCCTTGAATTAAAATCATGGATTCAATCAAAGCCCTTTAATCCACCCTTAAGAAGCAGACACACTTCCTCACTCTTAAACCAAAGAGCAACTCTTAAAAAAGGGTGGTGGTGGTGGTGGCTTTTTTGTGTTTGGGGGGGGGGGGTGGTCAAGCTAAAATTCAAGAGTGCAAATTCATATTACACATTAGAAGGGGATCTACCACATTAGAAAAATCCGCAGCATGCCGCAAACTGAGAGATGCATCACCACTAGCCCCAACACCCAATCCTGAATTTTCGTTTTGTCTTGCAGTTGCCAAGAGCTCTTCTGTCAAAGAAATTACCTGCAATCCAAGAAAATTAGCCAGTCCAGACTTAGTTAATCAGATCAACTGTTTCTGCCATAAAATTTCAAAATTATTGTTAAGTTTCGAACTTAGAATCACAGATTGACATCTGAAATGACATGTCAGAAGTAGGCCGGCCATCATGACTCATAGCAAACCTGCAATGGAATGAAGACAAAAATGATGGAAATCTTGATAAATTTTTTTACCCCAAATTTTTGCAAAAATGTGCTCTCTGCTCATTCCAGGTGTCTGAATTTCATTTTAACCAAAAATGCAAACTCACCTTCAGACCCCATCATACAGCATCTCCATCAGACTGCTTGTTCGAGCAATATAATAATTTCACAAAAATATGCTTGCATGCACACTTGAAAGTATTGCCCATACAAAGCAAGAGAGAGAAATGTAATCAAGCTTTAGATGAAAACAAAAAGAACCACAATCGTATTATTATTTTACATGACTGGTGCTATTAATCAAGTGTCCTGAAATAAATGATCAAACACCCACTCCACTTCTGCATGACAATCCTATAAGCCAGATGTCTTCACAATTCAGAAAGTACAAAAGAAATACAAAGGAGGAAAAGATTCCATTGGCAAGGTTACCTCTAAAAGCTCCTTCTCCATGTCCAAATATTCAGAATTTCCAGGCTCATCATCCAGGAGCTTGCGGACCTAGAAAAAAGTAACAATTTCATGACACTATCATTTTGATGTGCATTTCATACACGAGATAATCAAACAAGTATTACATGTAGTGTATGCTACTGAATATAACAGTTGGAAACTCATGAAGAGAATCAACAAAAACATTTTTCTCCAAGTTTAGAACTAAAGCTCACTGATTTTAGCAAACATCATGCCAATTGAAGCTATTGGCATAAAATCTACTCTGTTGACAAATTTATGCACAAGTAACATACTCAGTAAAACTAGAAACTTTTATAAAATACCAGTTCAAATCTCTTCAGTATGTGGACAACCTTTTTCCTATTGGTTTCCGCTTTCAGCACATATTCCAATGAAAAGTCCTTTAAACACTCCCAACTAACACAGAGAAGAAGTTCGCATTGTTTGAACAAGAAAATTAGAAAACATATCCAGTAAACTAATCTGCAAAATCAGTGCCGTTAGTAAACGATAAACATATACCTAAATATCTACGAAGTGCTCTCAAATTATCTAATGCCAAAAATGTAATTTTAAGAAGCCCGTGAACTAGCAATTTACAACAGTTCGATCAAATTAAAGAAACAAAAACCCTAAGTAAAACAACAAATCAAAATCACGAAAATTCAAGAAGAAAACTCGAAAATAACTTTGATAGTACCTGTTGAAGCTGTTCCTTATACGTGGAGAGATTCGAAGCGAGTTCTTGGACGCTCACCTCCTCACTTCCGCTTTCCATCTTTTTTTTTTTTTGTATGTTTGGTTTTCCTGGATTTACCTCCGAAATTTAATCAGTTATTGAAGAGCTACTTATCAGATTATTCAGAAATTTAATTGAATTTAAAGAGACGGTGCGCATGAGAGACGACAGAAAGCCTTGGGGTTGAGGTAATTTGTTTGTTTGAGGGAAAGGGACGAGAGAAACCGGTGAAGGTTTTCTACTTTTTTGTTTTATGTATATTGTTGTATATTGCAGATGAGGATAATTACAGCCACAGTTTTCTTTAATTTCCAAAGAGGTACCTAAATGCTTTGAATTTCTCAGGTTCGCCCCTGTGTAAATAAATGGTGATTGGCGGCCCTTCACAATTTTCTCTGTCAAAAAACTGAAGGCCCAAGTCCCAGTCCAAAGTGGTAACATCAGGCCTTTTATGCCGGTTCACAAATAACAAGATAAGACAGCTATTGGGCCTTGCTTGGTCCGATGGACAGGAAGAGACTCTTTAAAGTTCCTAGAGTTCTCGTGTGTGTGTGTGTGCGTGCGTGTCTCAAATTCAACCCCATCTAATCTAGTGCATCACAAGCAAGCATCATGCATCCTTTAATATAAAAAACTCATACAAGTGCTCCCCCATACAAAATACTCATAATTTTGGACTCTCCTCTGATACGCCCGCGTGGTCTAATAGTTTACCCCCAAATACTCTTGGATTCCTTTTCCCCCCCCCCCATAGCATAGATTAGCATAGGGTTCGTTTGGTTCGAATTGGTTAAAGCCGCTAAATATCGAATTGAATTTGGAAGCAAAACGAAAGAATTGAAATGACTTGGAATTCCAGTTCATAGAATTCCAATTCTATAGAATTTCAATTCTAATTCTGTAGAACCAAACGTACCCTAAGAGTAATTTAGATTGTTAAAGAGTTCGGCACATCACCAACTCAACTGGTAGAAATATTAGAGTAATGTAAATTTATTTTTAAATCATTTTCCTCGTAGAGCAAAGAAGAGCCGGCGAAGAGTCACCGTTGAATACAGAAAAAATATAGAAAAACAAAAGGCATTGCTGCCGGCTGAGGAAAAGGTTATTTCAGCTTAAAAGTTCTTTTTTAAATGCATAGTTGATGTACTTGGCTACTCGGCAACTGTTTAAGTCTCTAAAAGCAGTCCAAATGTTTGGCATTACAAACTAATAATTGTCCATGCTAACGCAGGAGAGGATAAGAATTTGAAGAAACAATACATGTTGCATATGCCACCAAGACGCAATGGATCACATGTCACTAAGAACTGACAAACCAGACTTCAAAAATTCCAATAGAGCGTGGGGGCAGTGACTGACGTGTGAATAGCGTCAAAATTCCGAGTCTTCAAATTCTGTTTCTAGGTTGAATGGCTGATGCAATCTAATCAAATCAGATGCCGGAGATCTGGGTCGTGCGAGGAGTCCCTATGTGGGAGATCTTACTGAGCCAACGTGGTAGCGCTGACACAGACTCGAGGGAAAAGCAAATGATCCTCACATAACTCAACCAAAATTTCGTAATACGCCAAGGATTAACAGCGGCCAATTTTTCCTGTGCTCGGAAGTCAGGTTTCTGGGGGCAAATTTCTTGCTAAAACTAGCAACCCAGCTGAATTTTACAACAATTTAGGGGTTGGAAGGGGAAAGTGATAACCTAGTGCACAGATAACTGGGGGGAAAACCCAATAAAGAAGAAAATGTAAAGCAGCGAAAGAATGGGAAAACTAGGACTATGACTATACAATGCCAACCAAATCAGCCTTCCCCAAAAAGGAGTGAATTGCACCATACCATTCTCCACAAACCCCATCTAGCTTGTATTCTGAACCCATCAATATTCCAACGGTATAACTTGTAAAAGGCTCTCCCGGAGAAATCAAGCAACGATCATTTTCTTCACTTCAGCATGAACCTCAGAGGTGGGTTTAAAAAATTCTCACTCGTTTCGAATAGAACAATAATTGTCCCATAGTGTTTGAGATTTTCCAATTTCATTCATGAGATTTTTGAACTTGTGGCTGCAGTCTCCTCCACTGCAAAACAAAAGACAAAGTAACACGAATCAAAAGCTAATAATTTAAATTTATAGGAAAGAGGAGAACATCCATAAAAACTGGCATTCCCATTATTGCTTTGACAGGAACTGCCATTGTCATTATTGCTTGACAGGAAACATGAGACCATTAGAACGCCAGAAGCTCATGCACAGAAGCACTGAAAGTTTGGCAAGGCACTAAGTGTAGCTTGCTTCAAAAGTGTGAAGCGAAACAGTTCTAAGAAGCAAAGCGTGGGGTATGAAAGGCACACTCTAATGAGCCAAAGGTGGGTTGTAAGACGAGCTATTTGCATGCAGCTAGATGAAGCTCGAAGTACTTTGCAACGTCAGGCATAATAGCTATGTCATTCATTCCATCACAAGTATTACTGACCTCCGCCTAAAACTAAAAATTTAGATGGCCACCAAGCAATGGAAATGATCAAGCGCATTATTACAAACAAAAAGTCAACCATTTGTTTACTTTGATAAATTTTGCTAGCAAAGTGATACAAATAACATACATATATATACAAAACTTGGCTTCCAGTCATACTTCATTGTCATAAAAGATATCTATCTACTCAAATTTCAAGCTGATAAACCAGAAAAGCCAAACTCCTCTCTTACAAGATATTCTAATAACTGCCAACGCAAGATACTGGCCCCAGCCACAATTCATCTACTTTTTGAGACAAAATTTTAAAAAGAAAAATGAAATGACAAGTTCCAAGGAGGACAAACCCAGGCGCTTGCTTGTGTTAATTTAAGAAAGTCAATCAAGTAAGCTAAAGTTGTGAAGGAAACGAAAAGAACAATTATCTGTGTGAAACTCCCAAATAAGGGGGAAGGGGAAAAAAATAAACATACCTTATGCGGTTCAATGATGCAATTGCTCGAAGGGCACTCCTAACCATGTCTTCATTACGATCAACTTCTTGCTTGACTGCATCCTGTTTTGGCCTGAAACTAACAGTTTTTTGCAAGGGATCCACCAAAGAATCCAAAACTGGAAGCCAACAGAGTTAGTTGATGAATAAAAAAATAATCAGCTAAAAGATCAACAATCAATATTCAGATTGAAATACCTGCTAATACGGCAGAGGGGCACTTATCCGCAAGTTTTGAGAGGATAAGATGACAAGGCATTTTAACATCATAATGATCTATGAAGCCCAAAAACCACAATTAATTTAGTGAAAGACAAGCAGAATAAGGATCAGAACAATGCTTGATACACACAACAAAGGCAATGAGATACAGTGCCTAAGAGTTGAAAAAGGCAAGCATAAGATGCTAAATTTCAGAAAATAACTTACCTTCCAAACCAGATTTGAGGTAAGGAACAATAAAAGATGATGGATTCACTTGATCAAGACAACTGTCCAACAAAGTGTCAACACATTCAAAAGCTGCTTTTCTCAATTCAAGCCCATCATCTACTGTGTGCTTGAAGGGACCCAGATCAACTGTTCTAATCAGTTCTTGCTGCCAACAAAGAGGAGAAACAAGTTAACATAAATTATTCTCAACTCATAAAAGAAATTAAAAATTTGGTGATGTCTAATGCCCACTCAAGTTAAAATAGCTTTATAAAAAGGTTCCTAATTAGATTTGCTATCAAGATCAACTGTTAAAGACTTTCTGCTTTACAAGATAATGTACCAATTAGCCACAGAAATGGGTTTTGATTTATCCAATGCAACTCTGCAGATGCCAAAGTTATGTGTGCACACTTATGAGTCAACTATAAGGGCAATTGATAAATTTCACAAACTGTCAGCAGAACAATTATGAACTTACAAACAGCAACCTTTACCCTCCCTTCCTCTGAAAAAAGATTCCACAGATTCCAAGGTATAGATAGTCAAAACTTGTAACAAAGACAAGTTCAGGAACTGAAAAACATGGGTAATCCAGCACATGACATGCAACACTAGCTTTAACCAGCGCAACATAGAGTAGAACTATGGAGTCATGCATTAAGTGGTGTACAAGCCTATGCTTCATTTTTCTCATATTTTGCACGTAGACGTTAAAGTTTACCTTTTATATATGAAGAATGGGGGGTTTAGCGTTTTGCCTTCTTTTCGCCACATGGCTTTCTGTTGATGCAACAAGTGGTACATCTGTATATTCAGAACAATGATATCCTTCATTGCTTTTGTTGGTCTTTGTTAATGGGCCCAATGAACTCAAAAGATTTCAGCCTAACGAATAAATTGTATTGTCATATTATAACTGTTTGGCCCTTAACGGTGGCCTTTACCCAAAAGAAAGGAAACAAAGAATGTGACCTTTATTTAGTTCTTTGAGGCCCAAAGGGTTAATCTTAACTTAATTAACTTATAATTAATTTACTTATTATCTGGTTGGGTGGATGTGCTGTCTAAACCATGACTCTTAGATTAGGCTTAATGGACTAATAATAGATTTCAACCCTGAGATAATTTTCAATTAAACTCTAATTACAATTTCGCTATTGTTACTTACAATAACATTTCTTGCACATTGCTATTCTTGCCATTGCACATCGTTTTTTTTTCCCTTTTGCCTTTTATTCATGCCAAGTCAAATAAGTCTAGCCCTTATGTTTATGGGTGCTCATTGGCCAATAATCGGGAATTCGGTAAAAAAAATTTGGTAATTCGAAAATTGATTTTTTAAGACCAATATCCGATCACCGTCCAAACCTTAGTTTGATAAATTGGATCAAAGAACCGGTAATTCGGTAATATCCGAAATATCGATAGTCAGTTAAAATATTTTAATTTTCTCTAAAAAAAATTGTTATAACAAAATAATATCTTATATGTTTTTCCAATAAAATTCAATCAACTCAAACAAACATGATATTAAAAAAAAACCGTTCATAATTCTAAGCCCTAACTTATAATTTCAATTCTTAAACAACATTGAAATATATAAGAACTTCAAATTTAATTGTTAAGCTAAACTCCAACGTATCAACTTCCATTAAAATTTAACGTCCAAATACAGTTATAGTTAAGTTAACTAATTAGTATTTAGTGATAGGGGTAAGATTTACTCTTATTTTTAGTAATATACATAAGTGGGCATATATTCTCCTTTGACTCCTATTGATTTTATGCAAAAGTATGGTTTACTTAATTGTTCTTGAAATTTTAAGATGGCATGGGCTGTGCTTTACATAAACAAGGACTTAGACCTTAACTACCAGTTTAACTGGCCATTCATTACCATCAATTCAATCACACAAATAAACAGTAAAACTTAGATTGCCAGCATTAAATAGACTAAAGTCAAAAGAGATGCTACTATCCAACCAAATCCTCCCAACACTCGCGCTCCAGAGAAATAAAATTGGGTAACTTTCAACTGGTTCCTTTCTCCACCTTTAACAAACTCCAAAGAATTAGAATTCAATAACCGTGTACATTTACTTGCCTTAATTATCGTCTGGTCATATAGTAGTGGCAAAAGTTCAGGTAAAAGACCCTTTATCAAGTTTGGCTTATTATGGGCTGCTGTATTCAAGGCCAAAACAGCTGCACGCCTAACATGCTGCACAACAGTTAGAGAGGATAAGATCAATGAAACAACCCAAGGGGAAAAAAATATAGAAAGCTAGAGTATCTCCCCCCCCCCCAAAACACCCCCAAAAAAACCAGAGAGAGAGAGAGAGAGAGAGAAGAAGGAACGTAGGCCAATCAAGTCTACCTCAAATTAAAGTCCATGTTAGCTTACTCTGGATACTTTTAGACCAGAAGGGTCAAAACATAGCATGAAATGATTAAATGAAATTTCCATCAGAAAACAGAAGATCTAAAGCTATTCTCACATAATATATACCATCCTGGGAACAGAATTTTGATGGTCTAAACTGACGGTCTAAACTACAATAAATTCAGTACCATCAGTTCTGAACAAACTGTTTTCACGATAAACTAATATACCCATATCAAAAACCATTCAGGTTATAAGACCGGTCAGCAAAGGACTGCAGCAGCAGGTAGTGATCAGCTAGTTGGAGTAACCATTGAGTCTAAATAAAAGTACAAAGAAAAGGGAGAGCAATTTGATTAAAAATTGGCAATCACTAATTGAGAATATAATTATCATCTTCTGCAGTGCAATAAAGCAACAGAAAAGGGACTTATCACCTTTAAACATTCAAGTTGAAATTACATAAAATTAAGTTGAGCATTCATGTATCATGTACAGCAAAAGAAGCCAAATACAAAAGATCTCCAAACCATTATAAGCAGAACTGGAAAGCTTAAGACATCATAAGCGATAATATATACAACTTTGCATATTGAAAGGGAAATTACCCGATCTTGATCCTTTATGAGCATCAGGAAAGATGAAATTTCAGACTGCAGAATTGCATCTATCTTCCCTGGACGCTCAACTATAGCATATTTTACGCCAATGACAACCGTTGCTCGGGTAAATGCAGCTGGATAAGTGGTACGGTCCTAAAGAAAGGAAAAACATGTTGATTGTTGGGCTGTTATCAATTGTACAAAAGAAACTGTGCTAGCCATATAAAAAGAGATCAACGAAGCATTATTGTGTGTAGCGCTACCTTGAGAGCAGGAACAAGTTTTTGGGGTTCAATGAGGGCAATTTTTCCCAGACACTCAGCTACAACATTGCGAACACCCTCTTCCTCACTTTCACAGTGGTTAAAGAGCAGATTAAGTATCTTCTCAACACTTGATTCCTGAAAGTCTGATCTGTCCACTGACTGTCTTACAATGACCTTAAGGAAGGATTCATTTCACAAGTTTTAGAAAATAATAAAAGATCAAGCAATTAAAAAGAATATCATGAGAGAACTCCATATCAATGGCATACCTCCTTCAATGAGTGTAATAGTAGATATTGTTTCTTCTGTTGATTATCAATCTTGTCCAAGATAAATGGCAGATATTTTTGTAGATTACCAACAGCAATATTCCCAAGAGCATAAGAGGCAGCTGATTTGATCTCTTCAAAAGGAGATTGGAATGATTCAATGATAATACTCTCGATCTGAACATGTGAGCTTAGATCCTTTCTCCTCCCAATCTCTCCCAAGCAAAGCAACGCAAGATGTTGTTTGGCCTAGAAAAATGGAAAATAAAACAATATCACAAAATGATAACAAAGGAAGAGGAGCTCAAAAAAAAATATATATATATATATATATATGTTAAATTGCCACTCTCATACTAGATTCAGCTTATCACAAAGCTTAAAACACACGTAATTCCCAACTTACCACCAAAAAGTACAAATAAATAAATTCCACTTGTGTTAAAAGACACACACAATGTGCATGCAATTTAGAAATAATTATTATTTTCCATGAATATATATATTTTGTTTTTACACAAATAAATTTTATATAAATTATTTATTAACAAACTTCAAGTTATGATAATAAATAATTTTGGTGGTTACAATATTTACAGTAGTTATGAGTGCAATGTTGGCAAATGTGATTAGGGTACAAGTTAGTTTTTCTTAGGATAAAATTGGAAGGTCAAAAAACGACAAAAATGTTTACACCAACTGCCATTGCTCTCCCTTTATATAGTGTATAGATATGCAGACCGACGCATGCATGATAATGTAAACCACAGATGGAAGCCCTTCAAGGTGGCACTTGAGTGCAAAGCTATACAAGTAACAAATGTCTGCAATCTATGTAGAAACCACTTTCAATTTCTTAGCAGATACAACAATATCATGCCTAATTGCAAGCACTTAGCATTCTAGCAAAACCTTCTCTAAAGCACCTAGCATCAGCTAAATTCGGTGAACAATAATATGAGACCAATAAAAACATATAAACCTTTAAGAATAGCATGAAGGTTATCAGAAACAAATTCAGCTAAAAACTACTTTTCACCGCAAGATAAACTTTTCCAAGAACATTGAGATATGATATGAATAGCTTTATCACTTGTAATTTTTATATGATATTAATCTAAGCAAGCAAAAATCATATGGAAAATAAGGCATAAAAGTTTTTCTAGTCTAGGCTAGGCTTACCGAACTTGTGCTGCTGTCATCTTTCAAAATGTCCGTCAGCATGTTAACGGTAGATGAACATTTCTTATCACCTGCAGCAAGGCAAAGAACGGCTACACACTGAGCAATGGAAAATAAAGCCTGCTTTGCAACACCACCAGCCTGTGGAGATGGTTTGGCAGTTGAAAGAAGAGATTCCAGTAATGCATCAAAGCTTGTATTTGCTGAGGAAACCAATGCAGCAAAAAAATTCCGCAAAGCCTGCAGGTTTGATAAAAAGAAAGTTAATGCAAAGAAGACTGCTGTACATCAACCATTTTATAGAGTACAAAATGTGCAACGTACAAGAAGTGCCTGTCCCTGAAGCAAGGAGCTTTTCACCAAAGTTAATGCTTGAGGAAGAACTTTATTTCTGACAGTCAAACCCACATTAGGGGTTGATCTGCTGTCAGACATTAAGGTACAACAAAGTTCCAGGGCTAGTGCTGTCATATGCAAGTCGAAGTCACTGGAGTTCAAGAAAAGCACCATCAGAACTTTTTCATTAATTAGCCCATGACATTGAAAACTCATAAACAGATACATAGGTACAAAATGCAGTTTAACACAAAATACTAGCAAGAAACCTTATCAAAGTAGAGAGTTCTATGACAATGACTTCGCAAGCAGCTGAACCGATTTTATCACCATAAGCAACTATCAGGGTGTTTAAAGTCCCAAGTGTTGCCTGTCTTAGTGCGCGATTGGCCTATCCATAAGCAAGTAAAGGAGATCAGACATTTCTTCAAAGGTATTATATCATCTTGATTAAAAAAAATGGAAAAGACAAAATTACTTGTTAAATGACAAATTTTCTCACCTTTCTTAAGAATGCGGTCAACTCTGAAATTACATGCTCTAAAACACAAGATAGGTCAAGATGCAGTGGAGAAGCAGCAATGACAGCAAATGCCTGGAGAGACAATACATTAAAGCTTCTACACATGTAAAAGTAGTTAAGCAGTAAGTTCTGAAAGTATCCAATGTCTAACACTATTACTACTATGTCAACATAGTGAGAGGAAAAATATTACCACCCACTATCAACTCTTCTCCACTTGCCAATAACAAGAATACAAAAAATAGAAGAGAAGATAGGGCTACCATACCACCAGCAATAACATTTTTCTGCAAGATTTCAGGAAAGGATGGGCAATGTAAAAGAAAATGACACAACAATGTCAAAATTTAGATCTGCAGAGGTAAAATTATGAACCTAAAAGCCAAATTTTCTCTGCCACTAAGACATAACAGGAATTCCACAAATCAATATTATATAGATTAAATGGTTGACAAATCATCAACTAAACTCTTGACTACAGAAACATGCCACCATTAGATGGTAACAAGATGACCAAGAAATAGTTTATCATGATAGTGGAAAAAGCATTTACAACAGAAATGTGATGCAGCTATTCTCCAATTCAAAATCATGGGGGAAAAGTGGTTGGATAATCTCTAAAATCAGTTGCCACTTTACTTCAATCAAATATCAAGCCAACAAGACAAAAAAAATGAGGGGAGTCATAAGAAGCCTAATGACAGCCACTCAACAACAGTTTTATCATTGAAAAAAAAAATCATTATCAAGTACCCATACCAACTTTCGTAAGAGGTTCTTTTCTAGTCAATGTATTCTAGAAACTAAACCAACCTTCACAGCAGTTAGCCGAGTTATCTCATTCCCCATTCGATCCACAAGCACAGGAAGGCATGCTGGTAACTCCCCTCTGAGATAATCACCAAACGTTGAAACAACAAGCCCCATACATGTAATGGCACTTTCCTTAACCTCCTGCAAAGGAAGAATGATGAGACACTCCAAAGTTGTATTGAGCTGGAAGAAAGAAAATTATGGATACAAATGTTGCAAACCTGATCCTGATCTTGATTTGCCAAACGGGCCATGATAGCATTATATATTGGATGAACATAGGGTTTGAAATCAAAACCAGAACCCTGAAAAGGGTATCCCATTAGCATCTGACAAAGTAACCCGAAATAAGAGATGCACGAAGTAGACACAATCTAACCTCAATATTTGGCCTCACAACACGAACAAGTTCTCCACATACTCTAAGTGCTTCAGCTGTAACTTTATAGTATCGCTCACCCACAGCGGATATAACAGGAGCTGATATGGCCTGAAAATAAAATGGGGAAGCCAGAACCAAACTTTTTGGGACGTCAACGGTTCAACTAGAGGATATCATACATGGTATAATGCATCTCTAAGAATTATAAAACATGAAAAGAACATTATAAACATATAAACATTTTTTATTCATTAAAAAAAAGAGCAATGAACCCAGAATTGTCCATCTCATCTTCATTCAGTATTTTTTTCATTTCTCTTTAACCTCAGAAAAGGTTTCTATTGCAAAGAAGCTTATATAATACAATACAAGACCATCATTGATTTCCTCTTAGAGGTTTTTAATTATTAAAATTAACTGTACATAAGAAAATAAACAACATTTACTTCATGTCATACACGTCAACTGCTTCTGCAATTTCACCGTCATTGATTTGCTCTTAGAGGTTTTTAATTATGAAAATTGACTGCACATAAGAAAATAACCAAAAAAATTACATTTACTTCAAGTCATACACATCAACCGCTTCTGCAATTTCTTTCCCTTTCTCACTTCTAGGCAAATGAAAACAAATGAGAGGAGCATGTAACACTTTTGCCAGTCATTCGGTGTATAGCTATACAAGCTAAAGCTTTTCTAGATATAATCTAGAAAACTAATCTAAAAATGAGTAAAATGGTAAATTAACACAACCAACATCGAAGAGAACCTTATTCTAAGTACCTGACATGTTGGAAGACATAATAATACTTACCATATCCACAAACTAAAAGGTATGTCTCAATCTTTCAGTAAATGTACAAGCTTGTAGTTCTGGATTAGTTTCAGGGGTATAAGCTGGAGAGTTCCAATGTGTTTCCATTTTTCCTTGATATATCACATGTATAAGCTACAATATCTCGTGCAACCCAAAGCAGGAAACAAGAGTCAAGAAAAAATGGCTCAGTGGATTTGGGCAACCAAAAAGAAATGACCTAACATCACTCCTTACAGGAATGTGATATTAAACAATGAAAACCAGCCAACATTTTAAACAGCAAGGATGAAGAATGCATCTGATTGCTTAAAATGTTATTAAAGTACTTGATTGCACAACACTTGACGAACAATTTGACATTCTTGAAAAGTTTAGAAGGTAGAATGAGTTATAAGACAATACCTTAATATAAGGATGGAAAACAGGAGGTGCATGAGAAGCCAAAATTAATCTTGTAAAAGTAAGAGCTTCAATCTTCAAATTTGAAGTAGAGGACTTATCCTGATAAATTTTTGAAAAAATTTAAAAAACCAGTAAAATACCAGATTAGTTTTTTATAAACAACATCAAGATAATAAGAATTTTGTTTCACATATGAATAAATAAAACTCACACATAATGCTTTCTCAAATCCAGGTATAAGAGATCCAATGTGCTCAGCAAGGCAATCAGGCAAGACCACCACCAGTTCTTTCAAAACTGAAAATGCACCAACCTGCAGAGGAAACACTATAAGAAAGTCGTAGAACAAAAAATGAACCTTTATCACTTCAGATGATAACACTTGGAGACAAAATAAAACAAGTCCCTGAATCAAGACAAATATAACAGCACAACTGTAAGGTTATAGAAGTCAACCTTTGTTTTGACAGATTTCTCTCTTAATTGCCTATTGATGGACCGAACAATTTTAGGCACTTCTTGCTTCAATAACCATCTAGGACTGCAAGATACATCGTTAAAATAGAGAAAAACCCAACATTGAGCAGAAAACAGCTGAATGCCACAACAAATTGGTCATAATCACAATCAGCAGGGAAGCTTTAGACTACTTCGGTATTGATGGGAGATGCAACACAACAAACAGCAAAATCCAAAGATAAGGATTTTCCACAAATGTGGCTAGATACATCTTGTTGCTTTCTAAAGTGAAAATTTGAACAGAAAAGTGCCAACACCAGCACAGTAAAAGCATGCAAAAACAAGGTGAAAAAAAATTAATAAACCTAACCGCACCCGGTACGAAACTTGCCCATATATCTCTTCAACTATTGTCAATGCACCAGATGCACTAGACAGAAGCAAATTGAGAATATCATAGAGAACAGATTTCAATCCATGGATGCATGGCAATGATAAGCTGTAAGAAATTACTTGTTATCATTTTCTATTTAACAAATTAACCCCCTCAACACCCCCCCCTCCAACAAAAGAAAAAAAAAAGAGAAAAGCAATAGAAGCTATCTATACAAATTGATACAAGATTATCTCCAGCAATAACTAGAACTCACAAGGTCCCAAGCTTTACAGGTCAGCAGTTTAACTAGGTAATAAGAAAATCTTGCCTTGATTCTTCAAACTCCATCTGCCCTTTCGTAACATTTCCAGTTTGTCGCAGCAACGCAATGAAAGTATTGAACACATCCATCTGTGAAAAAGATAATCAGATGCTTTACAACAGGAAGATTTAAATTTGAAATCCAAAACATTCAGTGGCATTACCTTGACATTTTCTTCCCTTTCCTTAAATCGGTCAATTAATTTTGGACAAGCCTGCACAAGAAATAAACTTGAACTGTAAAAGTAATAAATGCAATGCATGAATTCATTTCATTTACATGCATTTAACCAGCAGCAAAAGTTTATCACCCTTTCCAAGGAAAAGATAAATCCTCCATCAATTGTCAGCATGAAATCCCTAATTATGTGACAATCAAAACTGACACGGAAATTGAAAACCTGCAAACAAAAAGCTGAGACAGCCTTTCTTGGTATATGCAAATTGGTTTTAGAATAGCTTAATATACCTTAAGACTGTAGATATTGTAACTCATTACTTCTTAATGTTGACCTAAACGCTTTTTCAACAGTTAATCATGAAAATTAAAAGGATGACTAACTTATTCTCTATTGTCATGTAAACCCTTTTTTTTTGTTTGAGGTGGTGGGGTGTGTGTGTGTGTGTGTGGGGGTGGGGGGGGGGGGGAAGGGAACCACTGGACAAAAGAACTTTTGGTAAAATGGGATCCAACCTAATCTTTCACATATTGAAAGCAAAGTAATTTCACAATAATGTCAAAGCAATAATGTTCATGGAAGAAATAGAAGAGTACGAAAAATCAGAGTTGCCCCTTATGTACCTCTTCATATAGCTTTCCAAGCAGCTCAGGGCGAGAAACAATTAGTCCCGCCAAGCACTTGGCTGCAGCCCTACGGACTTTCCAGCTCACATCTTCGTCATCCGTATACTCATTTTCACTCTCACTAATATACAATAAAAAATGGGAAGTCAGCTGAAACTCTATAATAGACAGATCAATACAGGAATAAGCAAACCAATATTAACTGAGAACATACTCATCTTCTTCCTCCTCATGACTTTCATCATCAGTATCTTCCTCCATGTTATCAGTGAAATTTGGATCATAACTAAGAAACTCCAATGTAAGGTGGAGAATTTCATCACAGTAAGAAGAAATATCTCTAGGGCACCTTAGTAAAAAACTCTCCAATGCCTAGGAACAATAATTCAATATCTTAGAGTGCATTAAAGCAGAGAAGCCAATACATAATGTTAACAAAGGGAAAAAAACTCTAATTAACAAATGAAATACCTGCAAGCTATATTCACGAAGCTCCTCATCATTCTCTGATGCACTTGTGCAATAGTTTATTAGAACTGGAACAGTATCTCCAAGGTGGGGACCAAAACGATAGCCAACAGCTCGGCTAGAGATAAAAGGTTCATGATCAGTCAAATCAGGATTTCTCATTGAATAAATACAGAAAAGACAATAATGAGACACCAAGAAAAAGCTATAGAAATGTTGAACAATCTCATGAGCCCGTACAAAGCATCATAGAGAGAAAAACTATTCTCAAATGCTATTGCAATCAGACTAGCAACACGTCAACCTCGTTCGGAGGCTTTTTAACCATGCTCCTTTCATGATGCAAAATCTTACACACAACTTTAACCCATGTTTCCTGGCTTACAGAAAATACAACATAAAATAAATTCTATTATGTATTTTGATGAATTTTAAAGGATAGCATGAGAAAGAGTAACCAAGGCAGAATACAAATGTTCATCTCAATGAGACCAAAGTTGGGAAATGTTTCTTCTCCCATGAATTGAAATATTGCATTTTTCATTTCTTATTTTCAGCTAGTATATACTCATTTTGTACTTTGAAAAAATAACCTTTATTAATCAAAGACATAGCTCTGACTAAGAATACGTGGGGTCAGAAATTAGTTTTCCTTTCCCTCACACAACTTGATAAGTCAATAAAAATCTTTCAATACCTACAGGCAAAATTATGTCATCCACATCCAACAAGTGGACTGACTGCAATAAAAGTTTAGATCCAAAAGGAAAGCCTCCAAATGTGAGTAAAATTAAGAAGCATGAAAGCCACATCTAAAAACAAACCTTAAGGCCCCGCTCATCTGAATGTTTGTTCGTGCCATTTCAGATTTTGAAGCCCTATTTTTCAAAAGCCGAACAACTTCGCCAGTAGCTTTTGCCAGCAAGTCATCTGACAAGCTTGAAGCCAAAGATGCTGAAGGAAGACACAGATCACAATCAGAATACTCCATCAAAAGTCTCATGGGGATTTTCTTACCAATCAAAGAATCATTTACAGAACATGCAAACTCCTCAATTTGAGTATATTTGTGCTTACCAATACATGAGACAGTCTTCTTCCTAACTGTGGCTTGATTGGAACTTAACTGAGGTAGTAATGCAGCTAACAGTGGCTCATGGTCTGAAGCCATCAAATTCCCATATTTGTGAAGAACATCACATAAAATGTCAAGACATTCACATTTTATTTCTGTGCTCATTCCCTGGACAAGCAAATAAAGGATATAACAATAATGGGAAAAAGAAAAAGAATTTATAAGTAGAAGGCATTCCATGCAAGTCAATATATGAGTGTACAGTCCATTTTCATTTGAAAAAGAAAATTACAAATGCAAGAAGAGAAGGACAGAGCAGTAAAGGATATAGGGGACAAGTGAATTCAGCCCTTTCTTGACCACTAGGTCCACATTTTAATGTATTTATTTCGCAACAAAGTAGCTAATTATATTAATTTCAAGAAAATCTCTTCCAAAGAGTTTAACTTGACTGCAATATCCGTAGACAACCAAAATGTTTAACTTGAGAGTGAAACCAAAACGGTAGAAAGAGGAAATGTGCACTCTTGCTCATTCAAGGTAAAATGAGGTGCCATTCAACAACTTCTATAACACAAACAGGAATTATCTCTCTCAATGCATGGAAAACATGACTCACAAATCAAGAAAATTCAGTTTGTTCTTGAATCTGGAAGTCAAGGAAGTGAAGTAGCTCCCATTTTGCTAAATTCAGAGCAAGATTTTGAGTGACTTAGAAATACTATTCCACATTGAAGTTGGTCACTGGTTTGAAGCCAATTATGCAAAATAAATAAATACATATCCAGGATATCACTTTGATTTAGAACTGTACTATTGTTTACCAAATAATACATGACAAGTGCATTAATCTTCACAGATCCTGATTAAAAGTTTAAAGAAAAACATCTATGATTTTGGAACAATCTGTTCTCAGAAACTTACAGTGCCAGTGATCCCTTGAATCAACTTCGGAGTAATGGACACAAGAACAGACTGTGCAACAGAAAGTGAAGGAACTTCGGCAACAATTGTCTTCATAGCTATGCTAGCAATATCACGATGCTGGTCTTTTAAATTAAGCAGCTTATCACAAAGCTTATTAGTCATATCCAACACTTGTTGCTCATGGATTTTCTTAACCAAAGGAGCAAGGCTGAAAGTTAAGATCAACACAATAAATGAAAAACAACCACAACAGTAACCCTTCATTAAACATCATCAATGCTGCAACACAATGTAACCTAGTCTCATAAGAGTCAAACTAAACAAATACAATGAAAAGATGGCACATGCCAATAAGTACTTTGACTCGATGAATGAAAAGCAATCAGAAAACAGCCACAACAGTAACCCATCATGAAACAAAATCGGTCTTGCAACACATGAAGGTACTCTCATCTCACAACAGTCAAAGCAAACCAAAACAAAGAAATAACAACGCTTGCCAACAAGTACTTTAACTCAGCCTCTCTCATCCATCGAAAAGCGAAAAAAATGTTGCAAAGAAGATAGACTATTGAGAGAACTACCAGAATCCTCCACTGTAGATTGGTAAAGCAATCCAATGTTCCAGAATTGAGAGAAAATGAATTAAGCATGGATTAACAATCTATCACCGTGAAATTAATATGTTTAAAATACTTGACTGAATGTAATGCTAAGGATGAAACTAAACATTATGACCATTGAATATATGTAAATGGTCAAATTAAAGAGAGATGAACCTCATTCCCCATCTTGGGTTATGGATGAACTTTTTGCCGACTTATTGGCAATTATAAGCAGAAATATGTAATCAAAAAAATAATTGGCTGAGATGAGAAAACATTATGGCATTGCTTTCTGCCTCAAAAAAAGCTTTAGGACAATAGCAACATTCTGTGGGTGCAGGAAGATTCCTGATGAACTATCCAATTATAACATATACCCTTGAGAGTTCAGAGCAGCTTTTTGGCAGTTGAAGAATTAATTATCTCCTTTGGCTAGTTAGCCTATAAATTCTACCATCATTCACTTCCCCATTTGCCACTGTTCCTCGAAGTCCATAGAATTCCACTTAGATAAATATTCTAACCTAGGGTTATTAGCACTTTCAGATGTGCTCTGATTCCTGTTTGATTATTACAACTTGCCTTTTGTTTAAGTTTCAACTCATAAAACGTTGGGGCCACTGCCAAGTCATCCCATATTCAAGGTTTTCTCTTGATCTTTTATATATAAATAAAGAACTCATCAATCAAAGTATCTCTCTAATGCTTATGCCTTTGCCATTGCGGATCCGCATGAAATTACTGAAGGAGTAGGAGGCAGGATAGTACTTTTGCCTGGTAATGGTGAGTTCCTATGAACAACCCGCTCAACAATTAACTACAATGTATATGAAACAAAATAAGTTCAACCAAAGAAGCTCAGATGAATGTCCAGTTTCCAATTTCTCATTCTCCACTAAGTTTCCCAGTAAGCCAGCAATTTAGCAACCCGATTCTTAAAGCCAATTGTTTCTTTGAAATTTCCAGAAATTCGGAACATGCTATAACTACGCAAAGTCACAATGTTCATATGTAATTAAAATCATGGTATATATAAAGGCTCAAAGACCTAAATCATTGCTAGCACATAGAAACCTCATGCATCTAGCAGTAGATACAACCGCCACTCAAATCCAAAGAACAGAAATTAGAAGTTGTCAACTGCCAGACAAATAAAGAAATTCTTTTGTTCATTTCTCAAAAAAGCTATCTCAACAAATGCATTGCACAAAACAAAAAGTCTTGTAATGGGAGAAGGTGCAAATTTTGCAAATATTACTAGCTGCAGAATTACCATTTTACAGCTAATCCAGAGACATCACCAGCCACATCATCAAGCTGCTGCAGAACAATATTTGACAACTTCCCCTCTAGCTCGACATCAAGTTTAAATCCCTCCTTGTTTAATTCATTTAGCAAATCAGATGTTGCCATGTATCTGTAATCCTTATCCTTCCCAGTCATCTGCACCAATATATCAAGTAAGCAAGCAATATCCAGCGAAACTTTGAAAGGAGAAACCCACAGCGAAATCAGACACATAGATACAGATGGAAAGAACGGACCACCTTTTGGAAGATGGAAAGTAAAGGGGCCTAGAATTTGAACATACAAGAAAACAGACTGACTAGTTACCTTTTCAAGTATGCCAGTTATGGTGAGATTCGCCGCCATTTTAAGGAACCTGATGAACTATAATCCCGGAAATAAGATTAACCTGCAGAACAAAACCCTTAGAAAATCAAAAAAATCAAAGAAGAAACAAGCAAATGGCTGCAGGGGTTAGAACCACATATTTACTAATTGTAAACAGCATGAACCATTATCCAGATAATTAAAGATTAAAAACAGTACCAAAACCAAACTATTTTAGATAAAGGAGATGGAAGTCATTAATGTCAAAATAAACCAACTGAAATAGAGGCTGAGCTGAAAGTATAGAATAACCAAGTGACAGGCAAGTGTATACATGGAGAAGTCCCGATGTACATGGAGAGTCGTATGCATCTAACTCTAAAAGCTGACATCATGGAAGCAGTCCAACAAGATCCTTTAATCACACAACCAACTCTTTTTAGATTAAAATTTTTCACTTGCGTGCCTTTAGAATTACAGTAATAATTGAGCATACAAAATTTAAATGTACGATCATTATGAGGTCTGGAATTTGCACCATGTAAAACCCATATAACCCACAGTAAGAAAAAGATCAAACACAACCATCCCAGACATGTCAACATAGCCCGGGAGGCCTCTGCCCTTAAAATCCTTTAAGTACTCATGATTAATATTTTAAAAGTGATTCCCTGTTGAATACTAAAACTAAAACAATTCCTTTTATTTCGATTTGGATTTACTTTTTCAGCTCTTCCCTGCCGTATGAAAAGAACTCCATAAAGAACATAATTGCCATTTACACCTTTCAGTCCACAGAAGTTTCCAAAATATTGAAAGTCTACACCAGATTGAGTAAATATAATTTGGATTTGTTGTCTTGAAACTGCCGCATTAAGGATGTTGTTGTGCTATTCAGCTTCAACTTAGCATGTATTTAATGCAATCTATATCTTATTCCAAATAGCATATCACATCTTTTAACTACTGCTTCTCTCAAATTAGGGCCCTTGCTTTAAAACTATCATCGTATCGGATATGCCCCATGGGTCTTAATAGAGACTCACAGACTACCCATTGCCCGCCCGACGCCAGTCAACATGACTTTAACAAATCACTAACCAAAATCCACAAGGTAAATAAATTTAGATAGACCAACGGTTTGTCCATGAAAAATAAAATTTAACTCAAATTAAATGTTCAGAGACCTCATTCTGTTATCAACCAAAGAACTAGACAAGAGGGTTCTGTATATCCCTTCATCTAGCATTGTAAGCAAAGACTGCCCCACGTACAATAGCATATGACCCACAAAACATAATTAACCATTAACCACAGTTTCAGAAGTCTTCAAAACACATAAATTAGCATATAATCAAAAACAACAGAAGAAAATTATGCTTCTTAAGGAACGTAAAAACAAACACTTGATGGATGGTAAGAATAGTAAAAAGATCAGTAAACAGCTTCTATGAATTCTCAACCATTGCCCTAAAAACCAATCGATAATCACAAGGACGAGCTGAACTATGAACCAAAAAAAAAAATTTTTAAAAAAAACGCATTCATAAGTTTTAAGTGAAAGCGAACATAAAAGGAAATGAACGCCTACCTTGAGTATCACGGCCAAAAATAAAAAAATAAAAAAAGGCAGAAAACGCAGGCTTGCGCTGTGGTTGTATAGATAAAATATGCGGAATTGATCGGTTTGGATTGTTTCCCGGAGCTGTTAAACCCTACCAGTACAATGCGTAACAGTTTGCAGGCATCAGACTGAGACTGTGTAGACTGCGTGTAGTGCGTGTGAGTGAGGTTTTAGAGAAAGAAAACAGAAATTGACGCAAGAAGCGATGACCGTCTTTAGCTTGGCCGCACCTTTTTTTATTATTTTATTGAAAGAGAAGAGAAGAGATGAGAGACAGGTGGGGCGGTCGCGGTGGGCTATGGCTGAAGGAGAGGGAAGGAAGACAGGGACTCCGAGGTTACAGATTGATCGAGGAAAGTTTCTAAAAACTTCACATCGGCCCAATGTCGTGTCCGGGTCGGGTTTTTTCAAAGTTTTTCAAATTTAAAGGCATGTTTGGAACCTGAGTTTTTTGTGAGTTTGTCTAAAACTTTACTGTAGTGCACTGTAGAAGTTGTTAAAAAAATTTTGTAGAAGTTTTTGTAAGGTGAAAAATTTTTTTGTATAGTGAAAAACTTTTTTTTCCTTTTCTTTTTTTCTTTTTCTTTTTCTCTTTCTTTTTCTTTTTCTTTCTTTTCTTTTTCTTTTCTTTCTTCTTCTTCTTTTTCTTCTTCTTCCCCGTTACCTCCCGGCAGCAACACCCTTTCCCCCTTCTCCCGCCCACTGCCTCCCCCGCCTCTGCCTCCCCCGCCTCTGCCCTCCCTTTCCCCCTTCCCCCGCCCACTGCACTGCCCTTCCCCAGCCACCCCTCTGCCCTCCCTTCCCCTTTCCCCCTTCCCCCGCCACCCCTCTGCCCTCCCTTTCCCCTTTCCCCTGCCCACTGCCGTCTGCCGTGCCCTTTCCCCATCCATTGCCCTCCCTTTGCCCTTTTCCTCCCCTCTGCCCTTCCCCTGCAGCCCAGCCGCACCAGACGCTCTCGCAGGCCCAGGCTCGCGACCAGACGCAGCCCAGGCTCAGCTTTTCCTCTTCTCCACAGTGCACCAAATGCAGCTGAGGCTCGTGTCCCAGCCGCAACGCACGCGCAGGATGAGGGACGATACGACGGTGGTGCCGGGTTGGGATGGGGGAGGAAGTAGGAAAAAAGGGAAGGGAATTTTTTTTTGTGTGTTTTGGGTATTTTGAAGTGTGTAGGAAAAAAATTTTGAGAAGTTTTTTGGGGTTCCTGTAGCAAAAGTTGTTAAAAAACTAGTAGGTAAAAAACTTGTCTAAAAAACTGGCTTCCAAACAGGGCCTAAGTGTATCCGAGCCAGGTTTTTTTTTTCAAGGGTTATTATCACTTTACGCCCTTAACGTTTGGTACTACTATCAATTTCCCCCTTAACGTTATCTTTTAGTCACTTTACCCCCAAGACTAACGGTCAAACTTAACGAAATTTGTTAATTAAAGTGAAAAGATATGTTTAACCCTTAAAATTATTATCACTTTACCCTCATAAATATAGTCTCGTTATCAATTTACCCCATAGAGTTATTTTTTAGATAATTTATTCTACCATTAAACCAACTTAGCAAGTTAAAAAACTTTAGAAGAAAATACCCTTGTCTTTACATAATAAAAATAGTAAAAAATCTAGAGTGACTCTTCTCCTTTTTAATATCAAGAAAAAAAGTCAAAATATTAATTTTTTTTCTTGACAATTTTATTACAATTGAAAAAAAATAGAAAGACGGAGAGGGAGAGGAGGAGAGAGAGAACTCAATTCTTTTTTTAAAAATTACAAATAAGAAAGAATTAAATACTTTTATTATTTTAAAAATATTTCACTTTTTTGTTTACCACTAAATTTCAATTCTAATCCCGACAATCTTAAAGTAATACGATAATGTTATACTTTTCTTTATTTTATTTTTTTGCAAAATCTAATTTTTTGTCTCCTTCTTTCCTATATTAATTAAGTGCGAAAAAAGAAATTTGAGAAAATTCTTTTATTTTTATGTTTTTCGATCTCTTAAAGTGAAAAAAAAAAGGAAGAATAACCATTCTAACTTTTTATTTTTAATTATATATAAAAAGGGTAAATATATTTAAAATTTTTTGACCATACTAGTTAGATTAATGATAAGTAAAATGCCTAAAAATAATGTTAGGAACTAAAATGATTGTATCACTATAATTCAAACGAATAAAGTGATAATAACAACGTAGTAATGCTATAAAATAAAAAGATATTTTTGTCCAAAATTTATTAACATGCTGAGTTGAATTACTTATAGGAGTGAAGTGACTAAAAGATAACGTTAGGGGGTAAACTGACAATAGTGATATAGTTTAAAGGAGTAAACTAATAATAACCCTTTTTTTAATATAAGATGAGATAATTTGATATTTTCAGGTTGCTAAGCAACCAGTGTGTACCAAATTGAGACTAATCGATACACAAATTGTAGATTTTTCTTAACAAAAAAAAATTGTGTACCAAGTGTGTTTTTTTTTTTTTTAAGTGGGAGGCCTACTGAATACCAAGTTGTTTATGTATATACCGTTATTCTTTTTTAAACAAGGAGAGAGAGAGAGAGATATTTATCGATGCTAAGATTGCTGCCTACTTGGGATTAATCACTTATGGTTCATTTGGATTCTTGTTTTTGGGCTTGTTTTTGAAAAACTGTTTTTCACAATCCAAATGCTACAGTAAATGTGTATTTCAAAAACAACTCCAAAAACACCATATCCAAACAATATATCAAAAACAACTCCAAATACATATTTAATATGTTTATTTCAATTTATATATTTCAATTATGTATAGGATATCTATATATTATATTAATTTAAATATATTTATTTATACATATTATAAATATTTTATTTTATATAAAATATATTTTTATATTTTTATATAAATATTATATATTATATAAATTATAAATGTGTTATTATACATTTATATAAATGTTATATATTATATATATATTTAATATATACATAATATATATTATATATATTGAACATTTATAAAAATGTACATTTAAACATAATATATATATTTATGTATATTTATAATATACACTTATATTATGTATTATATATAATATAATACATTTATACATTTATATTAATATACATAATATTAATTATAAATTTATACATAATATTAATAAATTTATACATTTATATTTATTACATTAATACATTTATGCATAGTATTAATATATATTTATAATATATTAATTTATACATTTATATAATATTCATTTATAATTTATACACATTTATAATAATATACATTTATACATTTATAAATATATTTATATTATGTATTATATATAATATAATACACTTATAATACATTTATATATTTATTTATAAATATAATATATAATAAATAAATATAATACACTTATTTATTTATATATAATATATAAATTTATTTATAAATATAATACACTTATTTATTTATACATAATATATAAATATATTTATTTATAAATATTTATAATTGTATTATAAATGCATAAATGTATATAAATATAAAAACATAAAAATTATAAATTATAAATTATAATATACATTTATATAATATACATTTATAATTTATACACATTTATAATAATATACATTTATAAATATATTTATGTTATGTATTATATATAATATAATACACTAATAATACATTTATATATTTATTTATAAATATAATATATAATAAATAAATAAATATAATACACTTATTTATTTATATATAATATATAAATTTATTTATATATATAATACACTTACTTATTTATAATAATATATAAATATATTTATTTATAAATATTTATAATTGTATTATAAATGCATAAACGTATATAAATATAAAAACATAAAAATTATAAATTATAAATTATAATTTACATTTATAATTTATATATTTATAGTAATATACATTTAAACATTTATATATAAATATATGAATATATTTATTCATAAAAGTATAAATATATTTATTTATAAATATTTATAAATGTATTATAAATGCATAAATGTATATAAATATAAAAATTATAAATTATAATTTATACATTTATATAATATTCATTTATAATTTATACATTTATAAATATATTTATATTATGTATATTTTTATATAAATATATTTATTTATAAATATTTATAAATGTATAATTGTATATTGTTATAAAAATTTAAAAATTATACATTATAAAAATACTCGAAAATATGTTTTAAAAATACATCTAAAAATAATCCATAAAACATCTACAGTAAAAGTTTTTTATATAATTTTTGAAAAACAACCCCAAAAACAACTAATCCAAACGGACTTGTATTTGAAAAACGAAATGCTACAGTGCTGTTTTTGAAAAACAACCCCAAAAACAGCTAATCCAAACGGACCCTTAGTTTAGATATACAAATTTAAATTTACCTCGTTTAAAAACACAATAAGATTTATTGAATTTCATAAAGTGTATCCAAAGATTTGTCACGTCTTCATCATAGTTCCAACAATTTCAATTACAGTGTAATATTGGATTATAAATATCTGAACCCTCCAAAGCAACTTCAATTTCTCTTATTTGATGTTCCCCTAAAACAAAATGAAACTTAGTCACTTGTGTGGATTTATCATAATTGCTTTTGTGTCCATTTAGCTTGATGGAAAAAAAAAAAGAAAACAAAAAGGAAAAAAATCTAGAGTAAACTCATAATTGGCAAACAAAAATAAAAATTTCTATATGTTTCCTTCACTTTTGTAAGTGAAGATGCATACTTCAATTTTACGAATTTCAATTGTTAAAATACTGCATGATACCCTTTAAATTGTTTCAACCAAATGGTTGTACTTTTTCTTTCCCCTTATCCGATGGGCGTTTGGAATCATTTTAAAGTGACAGATCACATACAGTGACAGATGGTGGGAGGCAAAGTTTGAACCTTGACCTCCCACCCCACCAAAGCCTGCCATTGAATGAAAAGATAGTCAAACAATAAAAGGAATAAGAGAAACTACAGACCCCAGATGGCATGAAAGCCTTAATTCGTTTGACAAACAAATGTACAACCACAAGAAGCAAATGAGAAGCATGGAAAACTCCAGTAATGGAATTCCATTAAATGACGCTGCAACAGTTATTGAACTCACAATAGCTCATTATCACAAGAATTACAAACGAAGCCCCAGATCAGGCTGGAAGAGATGAACCTACAGTAGTGCTGTAGTGGCAAACTTGCTTTTATTTGCTAGCATGGTATTGTAATAGGAAACTGCCTCTTCCAGAGAGGTTTGATTTGTAATAATGCACAAAGGAATGAGTTGCTATTCGATTTTCTGCAAAACTGGGAAACAAACTACGAT